AAAAAAGAAAACGAAATTCAATTCCAAAACATTGAGTTAATGTTTGTCTTCTTTTGTCCCTTGTCAATTTTCTCATGTTATTATCTGCACTTATTTTATATATATCTAAATAATTATTTTTATACACGAAAAAAAAAAAATTTTTTTTCAATTATAATATTTATTTTGTTTTTTGTTTGTAGTCTGATCCAGTTGATATTAGTTTAATAAATGAATTTAAACAACGTTTTATGGATGAATTTGTTGTTGAATTAAATGAATATTTTTCACCTGTTAATTCATTACTTTCAAATTATCTTGAGTAAGAGCGAAGATTCTTATTCTTTTTTTTTTTTTAATCAGAATAATTTTCTATTTAAAATTTAGATCTGAAAAACAATATGAACTTCGAACAACACTTAGTTCTGATCATCTTATTCTTCTTGTTGATCCACGTCTTGCAAGTTTACCACTTGAATCACTTGAAATATTTAAACATGTACAAATTGGTGGTATTTCACGTGATTTTTCTATTCAATCAATTTATTATCGTCTCAATGCAAATATTTCTCTTGATGAAAATATAATATCAACGGATGGTAAGAAATGAAATATTTATATTTTAAAAATTCAATAAAACATCGAAAGCAATTATTAATTTGAAAAAAAAAGAATGCACAAAAATTTGACCTCTGATCGATTTTTCCAGTATTCACATGTTTTTCAAAGGAAAATAGGGAATATAAGTTTTCCTGTTCCTCCCTATTCTATTTTGGATCTGAATAACAAGGGAGTGTTCAGACGTCAATGAGGACGTTTGTCCTAGCAATTAAGGACAACAGACTCCTTATCTATATTTTCTTATCAACGAAAAAAAAAACGTTGAACGGCATTAACAATAAAGCTTAGACTATTCTAGAACACACCAAAGCTTCCTTTGAAATTTTACTAGATAATATACATCGGTGAATGTCTTATTATTGCACAGATAAAAAAATTACATTGAAGATAATAGGTAGTGATGCATTCATTTGTCACAATCGTTATATAATCAAGTTAGAACTGTTGAGAATAATCAATATCAATATCTCTACATTTATCGAGATACATAATAACATGTTGAGACTTGCAGCGGATATCATGCATACGTACAAAATGCTTATTTGTCATTTAAAACCAATGATTAGAATAATAATAAAATTAAAGAAAATGGTATACGAAAAGAGTGAATAGCAACAAAACAAATAGAACGCCTGTATAAAAAATAGCTACTTATTTTCGAAATGCAGAAATAAATAAGGCACATCGCTTGTCTGGTAATCGATTGTTCTTGAAAAATAACTATAGTCTATTCACCTTATGTATTTTGTATTAGTATAATGAGACTAAACAATAAATATAAAGTCCATATTTTAACCTCAAAGGGACTGTACTAATAACATTTTTGAATAATAAAAGAAAATTTCAAAGATATTTTATGGTTAGACAAAAAAAAAACATGCCAGTAAACTTTATGAATTTCCATAAATCAAAGTTTTCTTATTTCTTTTAATTTTCAAATGTATAGTTTTGTTTTGTTTCTCTGAAATAATCTCTGCTTGTATTCTCATAAAACAAAATAAATAATTTCTTATTAATCCAAAACATACTAAAATTATTTCGAAAAATAAAAAGTTCATTTAGTGGTTTTTTTTGTATATTATAAAATTTACTATCATCTACTAGAATGCATTACAAAATTAAAAAATAATTTTAATATATGACGGATATTTCATGTCACCGGATGTATCTTTGAAATTAATAATTTTAAATGATCTTGATGTTTTCCTTCCTTTTCTATGAAATCTAATCTATCACTGTCGAACTCACAGACCTAGAAAATCAATTGTTTATTTGTATATATAAAAAATAAAATCAATATCTTTATTATATTTGAAAAACATGAGAAGAATTATTTATTTATTTTTTTCTGTAGATAACAAAAGTAAGAAAGGTGGTGCAAAAGAAGTAAGTATTTAATGTTGATTATTATGTTTTGTTTTTTTGAAAAAAATTATATTATAAGGTTGGTGATGTGACGAGTGATTTACAAGTAGTTGATGCAGCAAATACTTATTATTTAATGGAACCAGTTTTAGTTAAATCATCGACTGGTAAAATTGAATAAGCAAAAAATAAAATCTTTGCTTTTTCTAAAAAAATTTTTTAATTTATAGAAAATAAAATAAATACACCATTTGATTTACTTCGACAGAGATTTCCTCAACTTATAGCTAAATGGAAAACAATTAAACAAGATGGATCAACAATAAAGTAAGAATTAAAATTTGAAATAAATAATTTGTTTTGTTTGTATTTTTATCGAAATCTTCTAATATTTTCTTCTAAAGATAATAGATGATCTTTAAATTAATTCATTCTCATAGATATAGATAAATAAATTTAACTATTTTCAGATCACAAAAGAGTATACCTCTTTCTTCTCAACAATTTTCGTAAGTTTAAATAGACAATATATACCCTTCTATTTATTATTATTATTATTATTATTTATCCCTATGGTACTTTATTATTCTTATATTCACCTCACCTTGCCTTAGCCAATTTTTGTTAATTTAATAAAAAGATTCTGATTTATAATTTTTTTTCCTTTAGTACTGTCGAACTTGAACGTATTATTAGTGAAGCTCAAGGTGTTGTTTATTATGGTGCACATACATTAAGTGAATTAGTAGGATCATATAAATGTCCAACATTGTCTAAAAATGGTAAAAATTCAAATTCTATATAATAATAATTGTTTGTTATTTTGAATTAGGTTGTACAATATTATGTTCTTTTGATCGAATATCAACTAGTATTATTAATACACCTATGTCGTAAGTATTGAAAAATTTCCTATATTAATAATTATGATATATATATATATATATATATATATATGAAAATTTTAGATCATTAGATGATAGTAATTCAATTGAACTTGATGATGCAACTAGAATAGCACTTTTATGGAGTTCAGGTGGTATTAAATCAATATTACTTAATCAATGGAAATCAACAATGAATGAAAATGAAAGTTTATTAATTAATCTTTTTACTGGTAATAATTCATATTTTTGTTTTAATGTTTGATAATTACCGAATAAATAATTCAATTTTTTTTTAGATATTGCAACACTTCGTTGTTCATTAAGTCAAGCATTACGTTTGTATGTATATCCATATTTCCGTCCAATAGAAATCGATCCAGCAACAATAGCAGCAACATCAAAAGACACAAAAGTTAAAGGAAATATTACTGCTAATAAAAAAGCTCGTTCACCATCGCCTAAAAACAAAGAACAACAATCACAATCATCAACTAAAACGAATCCTAGTAATAAAAGAATGTCATCATTAGTTCCTCCAACTGAGATTATTTCCGAACTATCACAAATAAAAGAACCTATTGAAGAACGGCAACGACCGGCCTTGCAACTTCAACAATTGAATGCTGTTATTTTTGGATTACCAAATCTTACATTTACACCTTGACTTTATTTGATCGATGTTTTTTTTTTATTATCTCTCTTTTATGAATAAATATCATAAACTAAGATAGTTACTACCGCTCAACACATGCCAAGTATACAATATTTCAACATCCCATTATCATGTTTGGGAAGCACGCCTTGTTCGTTTCCTTTTCTTTCACATATGCTACATGCATATAGATATAGTTTTGGTATTAGTATAGTTAGAAAGAAAGTAAGTTGCTCGTATAAAGATAATATAGAATGAATTATTACGTTTCCGAATGCATCATTTTTCTCTTTTGCTTGTTTCTTTTTTTTTTTTTATACTTATGAATGAAAAAATGACAGTCTGGATAGTGAGTTAGAATCATCATTATTATCAGATAAATAAGTATATATATCTATATATAGAATAAGATAAAAAAAGACAATCCAAGAAAAAGTTCTTTTGATTATCATTGAATGTTTTATGAAAGATTTAATAGTTGATATAAAAGTAATGAATGCTTTTGTTTTTAAAACAATAAGTAAATCGAATTTTATTCTATATTCATGAGTCAAGAAAAAGATTTTATGACTGAAGATGTTACATAATAGATAATGCATTGAATATAATGTGTGTAGGAATGTAAAAGTGAGCAGACAAAAAAAAAGTCGCTTAATCTCTTTTTTTTCGATTAAATTTTTTTTCCATTTGAAATATAGGTAATTGAAGCACAATTCTATTGATGAAAATGACTACTATTTGTAACCGGAAAGTTATAATCATTTGATGAAATATTATAAAGACTTTTTATAAATTAAAGATCCTTTTAAGATTGATTCCATTGAGATACGTTCATGCATATATGTTTTCGTATTTCTTTTTGACAGAAAATTTTTTCTAATATACAAGACTAGGTAAAACTAAATATATATATGTATGTATGTTATTAAGTACATTTTAAACTTTTGAAAATTTACGTATTTTTTTATGAGAAATTGTTAATATAAAAATTGTCGAAAGTACTAAACATGACTTTATTTTTTTGATCGTCAATGAAATTTACAGATAGTAGCATTGAAAAAAAAAGAAAGCATTACTCAAACTGCTCATCAAGTGCATGGAACCTTGGTAACACTAGTTGATAATAGTATAGTATGTTTATTAAATGGAAAGACGTCATGATGATGACTATTTTTATTGCGTCTACGCATTGACGCTAACTTTTCATTTTTTTTTGTAGCATCTACCTACTCAAAATTTGATATACTAGATGAATATTGTCTATATAGAAATACTTAATTAAAGTGCTCTACTTTGTTCCTATTCGAATGAATCAAATAGAAAAATTTACGTCATTTAAATAAAAAATTTTTTTTTCTGTCTTTTGAAGACTATATATATATATATATATATTTAGATGTATAAATAGAGAAAACAATGAAGAGAATAGTTAATATTTTTTTCTTTCTTTTGTCTACTTTATTTAGATATCAGTTCTGCATCATTAATTGAATATTATGTATTTATTCACTATTCTTTCGGCACTGATTTGCATACAATTGATAACAATAGCATCAACTAGTACGTATTCATACTTTATTTTTATTTTGATATTATTATATATAGATTTATTTATTTTGTTTAACAAAGATGCAATTGATATGAGTTCAAATGATCAAGTAAAACTTCTTCATCAATTAGAAACATCATTTGATCCTGATGATATATCGACGAACAATAGTGAAAGTGATGAAGAAAATAATTATAATCGTCGTGCAGCATCATTTTTAAGATTTGGTAGACAAATAGCACCATCATCAGGATCATTTCTTCGTTTTGGCCGCTCAAATCCTTCGTTTTCACGTCTTAATCGTGCCAGCCATAAGGGAGGAGCATTTCTTCGTTTTGGCCGACGTGGTCAACAATCAAATCCAAACAATTTTCTTCGTTTGAATCGGAAAGGTGACTTTTTACGATTTGGATAAAATTAATTATTCTATGTTTTCTTTTTTTTCTCACTAATGTAATAAGAAAATCACAAAAACTATAAAAATAATCAACACATTTTCCATAAACAATAAACATTGAACGATCCTTAAATATGAACAAACAAAGCAAAAGACAAAAAATCTATTCAATGCTTTTCTTAATCAGTATGAAGGAGTGAAATTTTGTATTTGCATGCAATATATATATATATATATCAGTCATTGATAATAAATTTTACACTTAATTAAAAATGAAATAAATAATGACTAATATTTCTTTCCTAAATAAAAAAATATATAAATACTAAATAAAATTTGTATATACTCAATAAATAATAATTGGGATATTAAATAAACTTTGTAAATACTCAATGAAATTAATATTTTTCAATAATTAAAGTTTTTGTTAAGTTTAATAATTAATATACAAGTAAAACATTTTATTATTAAGTTAATAAACTGAGTTTGTAATTAAGAAAACAAATTTGATAAGTTAACATGATTAAGACAAGATAAGATAACAATTGTCAGTTGACCTTGTACATTTTCTCTGTTTCCTTGAGTTAGTATTAATGTAACACAATAACATACGTGAGTTTCATCTTTATTTTCTTTCATTCTGATGTCATACATGAATACATACACATCATCTTTTAGCATGTTCAGGTACATTTTCTCTCTCTCTCCTGCTGTGCCGATTATATATAACCTATGGTGTTTTCCGGCGAGTTCTTCCCGCTGTGTCTATCAATTTCTAATGAGTTCTCTTCTTCTTATTCTTCTCTCTCCCTCTCCCTCTCTCTCTCTATATATATATACATCTGGCGCTCGAAATTTACTCCAAACTTACAAACAATGGCAAATTTTGTAGAGATACGACAGTATAAAAGCTCATCGGAATCTGACGACAAAATGGTAATGAATCAGCAGGATATTCAAGGAAAGACAACAGTTAGACATAGATTTAATTTGGTAAAAGACAAAAGCTTTTTTGATAATGTAAAAGCTTCAATTTGAATTATGGAAAGTAACTTTGTCGGACAATGCGTCAGAATGGAAAAATAAATTTTGTAACTGTCCAAACTTTTTTAAAGAATATATTTGCAAACTACCTTCAACAACAAAGAATGTATTTTTAGATGAAAAAAACAAACAAAATGAGGATGACCACGACAAATAACTAAAGCTCTCTTAATACAATAACTGTGTATTTAAATTTTCTACTAATACATTTATGTATTTTTATTGAACAACGTTTATATGTTCATCAAACTATACTAGGTGTCACAAAAGTTTTGCAACATTTTGTGTTTTGTATATAGTTCAGTTCAGACAAAAGATGGAATCTTGAATTTAATTTTGGAAGAGATGCGCAATTTAATTCTCTACAAATTTGTATTTAGCTTAATTTAAAATAATAGACGTCAACATTTTTATGGATCAAAAAGTATGATTATATGAATTGCATTTACTTCCTACACAGTTTTTATTAAATTATTATTTTTCGTGTGAACGAATATTTCACTTATAAAAAAAGTAGACTATCAGATGACTCTCGAAAGATTCTGTCGATCGCTAATGTAATTAACATTCAGTCTTTCTATTAGACAGAATTTTTCGCAAAGCAATATTGTGACAATCCCAAAATTTCCTCTCAATTATCGTTTTCGAGAAAAGTACCTCTTAAAAACGTGACCGTTGACCAAACCGAGTTAATTTTTGCAGTACTTTGTAAGAAACGGATTTCACTTTCTACTTGAAGTTCAAAAAACATTTTTATAAAACAATTCAAACGACAGAAGAATCTGGATGCTGCCAAGAATGCTGTCTTTGTAGAAACATATCTAACAGATCATTCTTATTAGGTTCAAATAGATTGTAATCGAACGCAGAAAATTTATTCTAAAAGATCATTGATATCCGATAGTATTGTTGATAATTAGTTTTTTAAGTGCCTGTTTATAACACGGCATAGTCAGAAAAATGTGTGGGAAGTAGACGCAATTCACATAATCATACCTTTTGATCCATAAAAGTGCTGACGTCTATTATTTTAAATTAAGTTAAATATAAATTTGTAGAGAATTAAATTGCGCATCTCTTCCAAAATTAAATTCAAGATTTTATCCTTTGTCTGAACTGAGCTATATACAAAACACAAAACGTTGCAAAACTTTTGTGACACCCGGTATATACAATATATTGACTAGAAAATTAAATACTTAGCAAAAATTTCTTTTTAAAATTAGAATTCTTCTCAATAGATTACTTAGAAAAAATGGAATTTTTTACTTAGTTTTTATTCAAAATTATTTTATATTTAAATGGACACAATAAATAATTATATAGTCATTAGTATTGAATTCTCGTCTTTGAATGAATTTAATTTATATTCGATGGAATTGAATTGTTATTTTGTTTTTATTTGTACACTTTCATGTTTAATCATTGTCGTTACAAAAAAAAACCGTATTCGAAAGAAGATTAGAATTTTGATAAAATGATGTTCGATTGTGATGAAATCAGAAAATTTTAGAATTCAAATAATAGATCAAGAACAGTGATTAATAGTTTTTCAAATGCGATACATATTAATTCGCCAACGATTCATATCAAATTTGCTATATCATAAAATTTCAATTGAATGCCTATGATCTCAAATGAGAAACACATCAAGTGCCATGATTCTATGAATGAGAGATAGTGTTGGAGTAGACAAGCTTTAAATAATGCAAGATATTGTCAAGCAAAACTAACTGACAGAGAATATCTTGTTAATGAGAAGGACTGTATTTTTTATTGTCGACATATTGATTTGACATGCTCATTGTTTTTACTAGAACTAACATTATAAATAAATTATTTTTTCTTAATAAAATCCTATCTCAAGAAGTAAGACAAATATATTCAATGACAATAAACATAAACTACTCATATTGAATCAGCTAAGTCCTATCAAAAAAACAACCGTATTTCTAGTTTCTATTAATCATTGATCAATTCGAATTGCAAATTTATAATTAAAAGATGATCTGAAAATTCCACTTCATTCTTTAAATTTACGTTATATATATATATATCCAATACAAAAATGATTAATCGATTGAAATAAAAAGTTTTGTAGAAAAAGATTAGAATTTTAATCTGAAAAAAAACATGTTAGTGCAATGCCTGGGGGATTAAAATGTGCAACACGATGTAATTGCTGTTGCTGATAATAGAAAGATTACTTTTTTCTATCTATTTTTGAACACATTTCTTCACCATCCTTTTATTTTATCCTCGAGCAATGCAATGCTGAAGTAGTTGATGCATTATAACGAGACATTATTGACATACGATATGTGATCGTATATCAATAACATCTAGCACATTCTGTGAGGAGAGAGAAGTGGGTGCATATTTTTATCTTTGTACTTCAAAGTATATATGTTCTTCGCCGAAAGTCACATCGTCGAAATAAAGATTGTCGAATAAAAGTTTACCAAAAAGCTTATTTAGAAGAAATTCGGATGTTTATATTGATGACCTCTATTTCAATGATGTTCATTTCGACGATCTTTTTTTTTTCGATAATGTTCGTTTCGACGATGAGACTTACATTCGACGTTTACCGTAATAATTATAAAAACAGTGACGTTTTCGATTTTTCTGACTTTCTTCACTGTTTTTTTGTTTTGGTCAAATAGACAAAAAAACAAAAAAAAATTCAAGTGTTTGCCCTTGGCTTTTTACTTCAAAAAAACAAAAACAAAAATCAACAACTATGTTTTTTTTATTTAAAATTAATTTTAAAAAAATCAACTGCTTCCCTCTTGAGCATGTTTTATGATAATTGATTTATGAATAAATGGGACTTCAACTACATTGAACAAAAACAAAAAGATTCCGGAAATCCTTTTCAAGATCTGTATCACACTATGTCTTTTTTTTAGTGTATGGTGAAAGCTAGACAGGACTGCCAACACGACAGAAAAAGTCGAAATATTTTTTTTTTTTTTTTGTTAAATAAAAATACATATAACGACATAGATCCACGAGAAATTAAAGTTATTCTAGCGTCACTTTTCCTTTACAGCTATGAACAATCTTTATCCTTTTAGTTATTATTCTTTCTGAAGTAAAGGTATAATAATTGTTTATAACTGTAAAGAGAAAAGTTTCAATCAATAGATTTTTTTTTCTAATATCTAGCTTATTCACAATGTAACAATAGTAAATTCTTTCAGATATTTTATTAAGAAAAATTCAAAATACATTTATTTTAAAACTACAAAACACATTTCTGTTTTTTTTTTTATAATTTATAAACACACATTTTTATCCTCAATATAATGAGTTCATTGCGTTACAGATAAAAGAAAAAAAAGAAATTTGATCAAATATTTCGAATGAAATTTATATTTTGAAACATTAAGAAATTTCCAGATGAATAATATTCATTCATAATTATTAAATATTAATTTATATTAAAATGAAGTATTTCGATTTTCTGTAAGTGAAGTAATAAGTTTTTGTAAAATAGTTACATCTAAATGGCCTAATGGTAAATATTCTTGTCGAATTCTTAATGCTTGTTCATAAAAATTTTTTGCTTCAGATAATTTTTCTTCTTGATCATGTATTAAACCAAGATTATAATAACATGAACTTTCAAGTTCTTTTTTTAATATTGAATCATCTTGAATCCTAAGAACAATTTCTAATGCACGAAATGCATGTGTAAATGCATCACTAAAATGATTTTGTTGTTCAAAAACTGCTGCCATATTTGAAAATAATGATACTAAACATAAATCATCTTTTTGATAACAACTTGGTATATATTCTCGTGCAATATGTAATACTTTTCGATATTCATTTAATGATTTTTCATATTGACATAAACTATCATAAATAATACCCATATTATAATGTAAAATAATTTCTCGAAGTTCTTGTGGATTATTATATAATACTTGTTTAAATAATTTATTAGTTGATTTAAATAGATTTAAACGATTCCAAATTGTATAACCAATTTCTGTTAAATTCATTTTTTCTAATCTATATTCATTTATACATTGTATTAAATTATTATATTGTTTATCATTTTTATCAATTAATGTTATTTGTATTAACCATGCTGATGATACACCAAGAAGTTTTTCAATTTTATTAATACGATATACACTTAACATTGATATAAGATATTCTTTTTCATGAACAAATTGACTTACAAAACCAATATTAGCATATGAAACAATAGATTCTTTTGTACGATCAATATGTATTTGAAAAATTACACGAATTATATTAGTATTTGATATTAATTTTTGTTGTTGTTCAATATACATAAGAGCAATACTTAATTCAGAATTTGCAGATACACATTGATTAATACACATTAATCCACCAACATTTTGTTTTATTTCATCAAAATCAGATTTTAATAAAAATTGACCAAAATAAAGATTTAATGAACTAGTTGTTGTTGTTGTTTGCTTACTTTCATTTACTTGTAAAACTTTTAAATCTAAATCTTTTATATATCGATGCATTGAACATAATGCATATAAATCATGTGTACGTAATGCACGATTAATAATACCTTGAAAAAAATAATTTTTTGTATACCACCATATAGGACTATGTTTAGAATAATTTTGTTCAAAATCATTTATTAATTCTATTTGATTTTCAGTTTTATATTGATCTCGACAATAATTAATCATATGTTGTTTACCATGATCAGATGAATCCATATTAAATAAAATAATTCTATTTAATTTCGAATAGATTAAACGTAGTTGATCTTCATTTGTGGTTAATGAATTTATTTCATTACTAATAACATCAAATTGTAATCGATCATATTCAAGTAATGATTGTGTACTAACATAAGATTTTAATGATTCACATATATCATTTATATTATTAAATACTCCTCGTACTTTTCGATAAGGTGATGACCATAAAAGATGTTTTTCTCTATTGAAACAAAATATATATATAGAATGTATTTGTTCAAGATTATGAATTAATGGTACAAGTTCTTCACCCATTGTACCTGATATAATCAGACATACATTATCAACATGTGTAATAAATTCTCGACAAGCATCTAATTCATTAAATGTATGTACAAGTTGTCGATTTTGATTTATAATGCGTGCTAATTGCGTTATAGTATTTTTATCATCATCGACAGTATTTTGTGTACCAATTGATGCATCACACCAAACAAAACTAAATGATTTTTCAAATGCTTCAATCCAACTTGTATCATAGATATCTGTATTTAATAAATTATTATTTATGTCGTGTAATCTTGATTTTTCTAACTTATCATTTTTGTTGCCCATATGAGGTAAATACGTTATGTTGTTAAAAGCGTCAACAATAGCAGCCGTTTTACTTTGTATGACACCGAATGCTCTTATAATGCTGTGTTACTTCGAAACGAAATGGGAAGAGAATGAATAAAAAAGAAAATGACGACTAGATTTATAATTCCGTTCTTCTTCCATCAAGGTTCTCTTTACTCTCAATGATGGCGAATTTTCAGCGACACATTACTCAAAAGAAAGCATTAAATACGTGCATGATTTTTCGTCTTTTGCCAAGTTGAATCATGCCTTATATGACGCATGAAGTGTTTATGTCGTATAAGAAGAGTGAAGAAAGAAAAAGAAATCAAATAAAAAAACAAAAAAATAAATTGAGATTGAGTCATGAAATGAGGAAAAAACCAAGGCAAAGGTCATCTTTACCTTTATCAAGATATAAAAATAAATACCATGTTTTTTTTGTTGTAGTTACGGATCTCGCGTGTCTCAACAACATTCCATGAATTCACCGAAAAGATACAGTTATTGAAGAAATCATGCTCAAATTAGATATTCTATTGTTTAACAATTGTTTTTTAATCATGAATGAAGTATACAGTAAATTTTTGTTTTCGCTCTAATCAAATTTGATTTTCAAAAAACTTGGAATATTCTTCAGACTTTGTAATAATCGTAAGAGCTCTGCAAGCTTCTATCTATATAATCAACATGTTTATATATATATATATATATATATATGTCTGAATTGCCTGTAAAATGCAACTAGTTGATCTGTTAATTGAAAAGTCAAGTAGTTGACTTTAAAAATGTATAAATGTGAAACTGTTATGCAATAACTGACAATACATGATTTTCAACTGCTGAAAAATTTCTGATGTTGATTTAAAAAAGAATTTCTTATTAATTGTTGTATCATCATAACATAAAATAATGAAGGAAGTATTCCACTCGAAAAGAGATGCCTATCTAAGAGTGTTGAGCATCAGATGACAATCAGGACGTTGGTGTGAGTATGAGTGTGAATGTAGAGGGAATACTTATGTCCACACCCATACTCACATCTACATCCTATTCACTATTGATATATCTTTTTTTAAGTATTCATTTCTTTTTCTTCACTTCATCTATTCAATAAACATGATATCGACCATGTAAATAAACATGATATCGATTATGTAAATAAACATTTACTATTTCACATTTTGCAGTCAATTAGTTGGATCATCTTTATTTTGATTGAATACAAGATACCACCAGATAAGCTTGTAAATCTGCCTCTCCATAAGTTACAAGTTCAATTGGTCAGAAAAATAGAGCATGCAATTTTGCATACTTTGGTATATTAATATTTTTTCGTTGAATGTAAAAAACAATTTTCGAGGACTAAATAGTCCTAGAGGATCTACCATTTTTGAGTGTTTTGGATAATAACTATAGAAGCCATAGTTTTTTTTTGTAAACTTAATATGACAAATAATAATGAAGATTGATATGATTTTTCATGTTCTACAAAATAAAATATTGATTATATTTATCCATTAGTCTGTAGAGGATCAGACAGGTATAATATTATACCTGTCTGACCTTCTACAGACTAATTGATAAATATAATCAATATGTTATTTTGTAGAACATGAAAAATCATATCAACCTTCATTATTATTTGTCATATTAAGTTTACAAAAAAAAAATTATGGCTTCTATAGTTATTATCCAAAACACTCAAAAATGGTAGATCCTCTAGAACTATTTAGTCCTCGAAAATTCTTTTGCATTCAACGAAAAAAATAAATAAATACACAGAAATGTGCAGAATTGCATGCTCTACTTTTTCTAACTTATTGAACTTGTAACTTAGGGAATGGCAGATTTACAATTTCATTTGATGATATTCTTTCTTCCAGAAGATTTAATCTCTGTCAGCATGCTTTAGAATTTTTTTTCTAAATTGCGTAATGTGTATGATAATTGACTATATGATGACTATTTTGCTCTTCATATATTATTCCATTCATTTTTGCTCATTTTTTGAAATAAACTCTTTGTTTTTTTTCTTCTTATTTCACTTTATTGAACAGCAAAGTTTTATTATATTATGCTTTTCTTTTTTGTTTTTGAAATTATTTACGACATATGAACAACACTGATTTCATTTATTATTTCTATAAATATTAATCATTTCAATTAAAATGAAATTTCATGCATAACAAAAGACACTTTTGATATTGATAAGATATATTATTAACATGAACGACAAAATAAATACAATCTAAATATAGATTAATACGTTAATATCAGTGTATTTCAAATATTTTAATTTATAACTGGAATGTTTTATGTTTCATTCACATAATTATATTTACTTCACAGGACATAGATATTCTTTTTTTTTTATTTCGATTATCAAATCATTTTAAGTATTGAATAAATAAAATAATATATTTATAATTGTTTGTTTATTTTTTGTTTGTATTGAAAAATATTTAAAATCATGGAACAACTGTTGGTATTTGATCATTATCTTCCAATCGATTATTATTTAATAGTAAAAGACCATTAATTTCTGTATTTCTTGCTGTTGCTGTTGATACTAATGATAATTTTGTTGATTTTTTACCTCCACTAAATATAGTAACAGATGATCTTGTACCAAAAAATCTTGTTTGACGTTGTCGATGTTTTGAAAATGCTAAACAAAAACGTTCAGTTAATACAATAAAAAATAATGGATTAAGTATTCCTTCAAAATGATTTAATAAAACAACAAGTAAATGTATATAAGATAAAATACGTTGTAATAATGATCGTGGTACAACTTTTTCATCAACAATAAAACGTGTATAAAATTTAAATGTCCAAAATGGTGTAAAACATATAAGAAATGATAAAACAATACATAAAACAAGTTTAACACCACGTGTTCGTTTTTTTGCTATACTTGAATTTGTTAATTGTACTTTACGTTTTATCCAAGTACGTAAAAATTTGAGTAATTTTAATGAAAATAAAACAATTATTGAATAAGGTATTATAAAAGCAATGACATATAGAATTATTTCATGAATAAATAATAGCCTTTCTGTTAGCCTTGATTCACATGAAAATATTGGTGTAATTGACGAATTTTTATTACTAATATTAATATTCTTAGTACTGTCCTCAAGAAAAGTATAAAAAATAAATGGATATGCTAAACAAAGACCAAGTGCCCATATAAGAACTATTAATCCAAATATAATTAATGTACGATATTTTGCTGGAAAAATTGAACGTGCATCTATATAACGTTCAATACTTAAAGCTGCAACTGTATAAACAATGACCTAGAAATATGAAAAAAAAAAAAGATTTTCATTGGTTTATGTTTTATTAGATTTTTTATTATATGAATAATTTCAAAAATTAAACTATTTATAGTCCGCATTGTTGTACATATTATAAAACACATTGTATTTTTTTTAATATTTTTTAACAGATTCTGAAGATTCTTTGTGTAGCATTACTGTCTTCATAGTCTTTGAGCGACGGATCCACGATTAAAGATATAAGAAAAATGTCGCGTAGAGGTCGCATAAAATTACAAAAAATTTTTCTTATCTTAATGCATAATAATGAATTATTTTCAATTATCTAAGGTGTGTTGTTTTCTCAGTATTGCAAGACCTGATTCTTAATTAAGTTATGGTAAAAATATATTAAATCAATATATATGTCGATCATATAATCTTGCTAATAAAATAAGATTTTGTGATATGTTCATACCAACTAAATCACCGAAGGCTATCACTCAGGTGATCTATATCGCTTGTGGGTTTAGTACTTCTTGTCTATGTATGTATTCTAATTTTAAATAACAATAGTAAGAATATTTTTAATAAAGATGATATATAATATGTCAAAGTTTTCATAAGATCAAAGTAATGTATGCAGAATTTTTTTTTTTGTCAAGGAAAAATTAAAGTGTCTCAAGAGACAATCTCTATGATCTTAATCTTTCTACATAATTAACATAAAATAGAATATAAAATCTAAAATACTATATTGTAACCTACAATGATTACTATTATTTTGACAAAGATAATCATGGATTATTATACGATGAATAAATGTAAAATCTTCTTAAAATTAAAATGAAAATGAAAAAAATTTCAATTGGAAATATTTAAAAATAAAAAATAAAAGAAGATATTTTTATGCAAGAATTATTATTGAACTAACTCGAAGTTGTTTTTATATATATTACATATAAAGATTTAGATAATAATCAGCGGATTTTCTACGAATCTATTGTGTCAATATAAAAAGATGATAAGAATAAAAAGAAAAAGGATTTTTCTTTCAAATCATGCATTTTGATTAATATAGCAATATTCATTTTTCATATAAGAATGAGACTTACCACTGTGCAAAGTACATCAATAGATAAACTAAATTTGCATCCAAATGCGCCAAATATCCAACTACGTGTAAATAAAGTGCTACTGAAAAAAATAATACCCACTAAAATATGCAAAGAGAAAATTATATTTAAAAACCAAGATTTAAAAAGAAAAAAATATATAACATACTCGCATGAATAATATCAGCTATAGCTAAATTAACAACTAACATAGCAATTGTTGTTTTATCTTGTGTTGATAAAATATAAACAATTGCTAAAAGATTAAGTATGATTGTTCCCAAAAATATTAAACCAATAATTGCAACAAACATTCCAAGTAGAATTGTTTTTTCCATTGTTATTTTTAAGTAATAATAATAATAATAATGAAAGATTATTGAGTTGATATCAACATAAAAAGATAATTAATCAATGTAAGATGGTTCTTCTTTTACTGAATTTCCCTTATGATTAACACGTAGGTGTGAAACATGAAATTAAATATAAAGAGATTCTCATTCGTATATGATTGTTACTAAAAAAAAAGCAAAAAAAATAAAAAATGCATGAAGAAACATTGTTATATTCTCAAAATTTACTTTCTTTCCGTGTTTTTTTTCTAATTAAATTATTACATGCAACATATTTTCAGGATTTTTCATGCAATAAATTAGTTTCATAATAGATTATTACATGACAGACATATAATTCGTAACCTCGGTAAAACAAGTTTAATCATAAGGAAAAAAAATAACATCCTGTTTTCAATTAATGAAATTTGATCAAATGATGCGAAGATAACTATCAGACACTACTTATATATATATATATATATATATATATTGATATTTACTTTCGAAAAAAAAATATCCCTAGAGATAATCGAAATTCTATATACTTAATAGAACAACTATCTCAATTATATTAGAAGGTTTTCGATCCAAAAGGTGAATATATTCTCATGCAGAAACAAAAAAAAAAGTCATTTTCTACATATCTACTATTTGCAAAATTGACAATCTATTTTCTTATTTCGCCTGTGTAATTTCCAAATCAATGATTACTATCTTCTGTTTTTTAGAATTGTTAGAAGTATATATAATTTACGATAAATGCATTTTTTCATCATATTCTAAAAATTCTTTGATGATTAACATTATCGACAAAAAACAAGTCATTTCTTAAATGGAATTTTCTCTAAATAAATTCTATCATATAATGAATTGTAACTATAAATTCTATTTCAACCAATATTTTTGGTAATTTTTAATACATGAGGTTTTCTTTTTTCATCATTTCTCATTTTCTTGCTAGAAAATTAAATACTTACTCAAGAAAAAAAGGAAAGCAAAATCAAATAAGACAACAATTCAGTGTAAAAATATATGATTTTATAAATAGCTATAGTGAAAATGTCATTATAAACACTGAGAAAGAAAAGATTGTTAGATGAATATATATATATACATAATAATAATGATAGAAAAAAGAAAAAAGGAAATGACAAAGAGTTTTAAAACCAACATCGTACTTACCTCGTCCTTTACTGAGCTAGTAGTGCTTACTCATGAGAGCCGGATATTACAAAACAACGATCTTTTTCTCGTTTTCTGTACTTATCAAAGCAAAAATTTCTTGCCAGTTTCAATCGTTTTCTTTTGTCTTAATATAGTAAACCATGAACATACTAAACATAGAGAAATTAATAAAACCTAAGGGCATCTTCTTTTTTTTTTTTTTTGATGCTCTTTTCTTTTGAAAACACAGAGAGAGAGAGAAAGTGAGTGAAAGGGTAAAAAACGGAAAATCCCTCAGGAAAAAAAGAGAGAGTGAGAGAGAAAGCAACAAAATGCATTGAGAAGCATGTTACTTGTCTATTTAATCTACATTTACAGGCATGCACATGTTTCTATTCTTGCTTGTCATTGCTGATTCTTATATTACTGACCAGATAAAAAAATAGATAGATGCAAACATCATGCATATGTATATGTCCTTGCTCAATTCTATATAAATGTGTATCAGTTTTAGACACGTTCATTCTCAGTGAACAACAACTGATGTTATTTCATAGATATATGACAGATAAATGATGATGTCAGCCGTCTAATCTTGTTATCATGTCAATGGCAATCGGTTTCTTTTTTTTTTACGCGTTCATGTTTTGTCAATGTTTTCGCTTTGAAATCATCATCATCTTGTAGAACATAACATTTTCTTTTGTTTAATTTAATTCTTTTGGACATAAATGGAATGCCTTAGGCATAGTCTTTTCTATATATGGGTATATTCAAATGCATTTTCATAATTTATAAACAGAAGAGAGCAGCTAGTTTATCGAAAATAAACTAAATAACTAAAAATTAATAACACTGAGATGCACAAAAAAAAAGAGCACTCATCATTATTAAGAGCAATATAAATAGATCCATTTGCAATAAAAAGTTACACGAACCTTAAATATCACCTCTTATAATGTAATTATAGCTGTTATAGAATGTGAGTGTATTGATAATGTAAAATTTTGACATAGAAACAAAAGATTAGGGAGCAAAAAAATTATCTAAAAGATAAAATGTGCATATATATAGAATCACAAGATTGCAAGATAGATTCACATGAATAATTTCATAATTGTTAGAAGAGATAAAGAGGAAAGAATTTATTTTGTTGAAGAACATTTTTAATGTTCCTTTTTATGCCAATTAACAAAGATAATTATCTTGAATATGTTATCAAAAGACTCTCTTGCCTTTCTTTTTTCTTCATCATTTGACAAGCGCAAATAGTTTATATGTTTTGTCTTTCGATAAAACAAAACCTAATTAGTTTATGAACTATAGACATCTAATATAAACTAATAAACAAAAATTTTTATAGAAAAATATTTTCTTCTTATGTAATAACAAAGATAATATTTAAAAAGTGTTTAATATAACTTTTTCCCAGATTCTACTTACTAAGAAAATCAATAAATTAAATTTTGTTATTTCCATTAATAATTTCGTCCTTGTACGAGAATATTCTCACGTGTCATTTGTTTTCTATTTATTAGATTTACTCCATTGCATCTAAGATGGTATTTTGATTATTCTATATACATATATATATATATTAATTTTTTAATTCAGTGTTTTCTTTTTTTTTGGATAATTTGATTTATAAAAAAACAAAAAAACAAAGAAATATTCAAATAACTATTCGGCTTTTGTTTTTTCGCGTGAACTATTAGTTTTTATAAACTAAAAAAAAAAGAGCCAACGGATATTCAGTGTATATCCTGGATTAAATCTTTTTTTCTACTGGTTTTTACTAATTTTTTTAAACTCTATATAATCTCTTATTAATCATTTACGTCACAGAACTATTATCCAATTTGTTGATTATTCAAAAACAAAGAAATTCTTTATACAAAACAAAAAAACTTGACACAACATTTTGATTCTATAAAATAGATATCCACAAAGACAGATATGAAATACGATTTACTTATTTATTTTTAAACAAAAACTATCACATTATTTTATTAAACTAAAAGTTCGAGGAACAATCCACAATAGAGTACAACAAGCATGGTTTTTCTCGAGTACGAAGAAGTACTAGTACTTGTCTAACTTTGATGTAGAATAAATTATAATCTCAGTATTTTGTTTCTAACTACAGTCACGTTTTTTTTTTTTCACGCAAGTGTTTTTTTTATCAAAAGATGGCTCATATAGTGCTTGACAAAAATATGTCGTATGTCAATTAACGATAATTAGTTCGTGCCTTGAGTCATCAACGTATCATTATACAAATCCGGAGAAAATTGAAGATTTTTTTTATACGTCTTTATCTTAACAATGACGACAATAAGTATTTATTAAGTGAAGAATATCCGCTTGTGTAAAATAACACGGTAAATCTTTCGATTAAAAAAAAAACTGGAGCATTAAAAAAAATGACTAAAATATCTAAACCATTATTGATTCTGTGTTGTGTTTACTTGTCTTACCTTTTACTATTCAAATACATTATTTCTCGTCGCTTGTTAATGATGGATAGTTAGACAGATAGATAGATGAATAAGAACAAGAAAAATGAAGGCAACAATGTTATTGCACTCAATACTTAGAATATAGCGACTTGATTTTCATTTTTTTTTCTTGCTTTTCTTCTGTTTCTTGAGAATATTCACATCCTATGAGAATTGAAGTATTTATCAATGTTTTCAAGACTATAATATGCACTCTCAACTGATTACTTCTACTAAGCTTCTAGCATTTGAACAAAGAAAATATTGAATTATATTCATTAAAATTCTACCTTCATTTACAATTGTACGTACATGATATCTTTTATGAAATAATACAATTTAAAAATGATCAAGATAAAAATTTTTTCTTTATGTAACTCATAAGTAATAAACTAATATTCTATATTTCAAAAAAAATCTTCAAATCAATTAGCGTGTAGAATTTTGTTCATTAACACGACAATAGAATTTATTCATCTCTTACCGTAATAGTTAATGAAACTTGTGAAGATAATGATAAAAAAAGTTCATAGTCAAATATAAAATAAAAAATATTGTCTAAATGTATTGGCATAAACGGATAACATTAGTATGTTAGATTCGGTCACCATGCATGTCTTGGATGCAGTAGAACTACTGTGTTATTAACATAATGTTAAATACAAGGTTATTCTGTCTACTGAGTTTATTATTTGTCTTTTGTTATTTGTATATGCTTAGAATATTTATAATAGAAATCTTTGGTTTTCTCATGGTCAAATAAATAACTATTAAAGAAATATCGTTTACTTTATATGTCATTTCGATGAACAAAAACAATAAGAAATAATAAGAATAATGACGTCAAAATAAATTTCAGCAAAAAATTTTATTCTTATTGGTTGCTTTTATATTTTCTCTTTATAATTAACAAATAAGAAAAATGAATAAAAAAAACAATTGTATACTATAATCTATTCTGAATATATTCGAAATTTGATACACTCTATCTTTTGTTATTTACTTGATGTTCATTGGAAAGAAGAGATACATTCTAACATACACACACTCATTTGTATCATAGCTCTGTGACATATATTTTTTTTTTCTTTAATCAATAAGTTTATATTGTAATCTTTATCGAAATTTTCCTTTTTTCCCACTCTTTATTACTTTTCAGAAGTTTGCTAAAACGAATAAACTTACTAATAAATCCATTGAAAGTCTTGTTAGATTAAGATCGTTGCATGTATTCTATAGAAGAGTACAAATGAAGAAATATATGTTCTAAAAAAAAAACATCTATACAGCTTTTAGTAACCTAGCCGCCAACTAATTGCTATTTCCGGTTATTTTATTATT